TGAATGGGCATGGGTTGGCATCATTGTTTCAGATGATGATGATGGAGAAGACTTTGTGCAGATTTTAACACCTCTGCTTACCCAGAACAGCATTTGTGTTGCGTTATTGCTCAAGATAGAAAGAGCATCACAAGACCGTAGGGAGGCATTTAATACACAGATGGCAAAAATTGATGCAGCACTTCAGTCTGAAGTCAGTGTGTTTATTGTCAGTGGAAATGAATATTCTCTATCGGACTTGAAGTTAAGAGTAAGAGTGTGTGAAGTTTTCAGGATAGTTGATATTAGGAAAGTTTGGATTACAACAGCTCGGTGGGATTTCACTAAGGGAACAAGAGGATTCCGTGGTTTTGATTACAATTTCAATGGCACCTTATATTTCTCGGTACAGACAACTCCCGTGCCTGGGTTCCATAATTTTCTCAAGAACTTAAAATCTGATGAACAACTGATGCACTTTCTCTGTTTATTCTGGGAATTTATGTTTCACTGTTCAATTTCTAGTAAGAACTATTCACGTTGTAAATATGGTCAAAGATGTACAGGAAATGAGAAACTGGAAAGGCGGCCTGCGTCTGAGTTTGAGATGGATATGACTGGTGAGAGTTATACTGTCTACAATGCTCTCCATGTGGTGGCTCATGCTTTACATGCTATTGATATGTCAAGCCAAAGACTCATGCTGGATAAAGGCAAATTCAAACACTTGAATATTCAGCCATGGCAGGTAAAGTCTATTTCTCTGATGTTTCAAATTTTAGAACACATCTGTAGCCAAGATTTTCTCCAAATAATATTGAGTGGAGAATGAAATATTAGGGATGTGCTTTGGCTCTAAGTATTTCCTGATTTTACAGTTGAAAAGGTGAATTTTTCACATTCCCAGATTGGATTACGTTGTTAGCAACCTCAGAGTTATTAATGAGTCCAAAACTGTTCTGTGCCACAGACTTTTAAATTGCCCAATACATTAAAACAATAATAATAATACAGAAGGAAAATCAGACTGACAAGGAAGATGTCCTGAGCTCAAGTGTAGAGGGATAGGGGAGGTGGAGTGTCTTCCATTTTGCTGGATATATATGTTTTAATTATGGGGAACTGTTTTCCCAGTGCACTCAGATAACTGACATGCTTTCCATTGGAAAAGAAGCTGTGTCCCCACAATTACATGGTTGGAGTAGAAGTCCACTAACACCAACACTTAGTGGAGTAACATGGTCCTTCCTGGGTGTTGCATTTTCCAGCCCAAGTCTTCCCTGGAGATTTATGCTATTTCCCTACACCATTTCCTATATGCAAGCCAATAGAGAGATTTATCCCAGGAGAAAAGGTTGTATTCCCCAAAACTTCATGGGGCCAGACCCCACACCAGCCAATTGCCCACAGGGTAAAAGATCATTTCCCAGGTCAACAAAATTTTCTCCACCTGAGAATATTCTTTTTCCAAACTACCATTATGGACCTCTATGTCTTGTGTTGTACCAGTCCTAGAATGGTACATTCCACCCTTGTAAGATAATCACTCTGGCTAACATTCTGGTTTTTTCCTTTCTAGAGTCATACCCTAAGGCAAAAATGTCATTGTTCATAGATATATCTGTTTAAGATTTGACATACTTAATCTACTCCAGGGGATTTTCATCTCCATTTTTAACATATATAGTCAATTCCTGAATAATAAAGCAGATTGGAAAGATACAGTCAAGCTAAGGGCTTGCCCATATCTCCTTTATTCCTCCCTCATCCATGCAGCATTCTCCTCCACTTACTGCTTTCCTACACTATCTCCTCCCTGATAGTGGAAATTCTCTATGCTTTGAAAGTCCAAATTGGTGAACTACATCAATTGTGTAAGGAATTTATGGATTTAGGGTGGGGGGAGAACATGTGGGATAGCAGTAGCTGGAGGAGAATGTTGCATGGATGAGAGAGGCACAGAGAGTTCACTATCTACATTCAGCCAAGGAAAAGACAGACTTTAACAATTAATTTTAACCTGTGTGATTTGCTTAATGGAGAAAGCTCTCGCAAGGCTGGAGGAAATGTCCTGAGTTCTACACTTTGGCTTGATCCTGCAGGCTCTTCTTGTAATATCATGTATTAGTTGCAAAGTGATTTCCTCTGACTGTATGGTAATTTCAGCATAATAAGCTCAACTTTACAGACCCACAATAATGTTCTTTCTCACTTTAGGTCCATTCTTCACTGAAAAATATCCACTTTAACAGTAGTGCTGGGCATGAAGTCTTGATAGAAAATGGAGCCATTTCAGCTGGCTATGATATCATCAACTGGATTGTTTTCCACAATCAATCTGTCCTGAAAGTCAGGGTTGGAGAAATTTCAGCAAGTCACAGTTTCATTCTCAGAGAGGATAGAATTATGTGGAGCAGCCGATTAAAACAGGTAGGAATTTGCATACTTTTAAAGTCCAAGGAATCAACTATTAAACCACAGGTGATGTTCAAAAGCAAAACACTACAAGCAAATTCCTTTCAGGTGAGGAAGGACACTGTGCAACACTTGTTAAAGTGCCAGCTTTGCTTATCAACACAGTTGGGGACCTATATGGAGTAAGGTGATCTTTTAAAGCTGTCATAGTTTGATCATTGTTGGCTTTCTTTAGCATTTTTAAACGCACACCTCCAAATCAGTTTTCAAGTTGCATCCTGGCCCCTGAAAGTATTGTTACATGCCACCCCCACCCCCAATGTCTGAGTGGTTCAAGTCTCCAGGGAGTTCCAGGATCTCTGTTTTGGATGATGAGGCACAATGGAGACTGTGGTGTCTTTATATTATGTGGTTTATTTACACATACATAAAACCAGGGCCTACCATAGAGGGGTTCAGATCATCAACATTCCAAAAGGATTTTGCTTCTCCCACAGGTACAGCAGTAACCCTGGCCTATAGCTTGCCTTCATGGGTCAGACATAATGCCTATCTTACTCTCCTAACTCCCCCTGCATTACGCTTCTGCCCACATTACTTCCAATTCTATATTCTATACCCCTGGCTTTTATATGCAGAGTGAGGGAGTGTAATTTAAATGCCTTTTTGCACTTTGCTCCTTGATACTGTCAACCTAGTAGTTTGAAAGCATACCAGCATGACTAGATAAATAGGTGCTGCTTCAGCGGGAAGGTAAATTGCATTTCTGTGTGCTCTGGCTTCTGCCATGGTGTTCAATTGAGCCAGAAGCAGTTTAGAATTCAGTATGCTGCCTTTTTAACTGCCTTGCATCACAGCAAAACACTAAGGCTGCTTGAAGAGGGATCAGAAGTCAGAATTTCCACGTTTCTAAGTAGAAAAATATAAATGCATTGGTGGGTTTGAAAAGATGGATGCCACCTTCATTTTTAAAAACTTTTTGCATGATCAGACACCACCCCAAGCAAAGTGTGTTGAGAGCTGCCCCTTTGGATACAGACGAATGGCTCAGGAGGGGAAACCATCTTGTTGCCATATCTGTGCCCCATGTCCGGAAGACATGATGTCTAACAAAACAGGTATGTTACGTCACTTTTCTTTTGGATGTGTTTCATATAGGTAGATATAGATAGATATCCATTTTATGGACTATAGAAACAACATGAAAAGCCATAGATAAAGACTAGTGAATATAAAATGACATAAACATCACAACATTAGCAGTCAAAGCAAATATATTCACCCCTTAAAAAACAAGTATTCGAGAGAACTAACAGAGCCAGCGAGGTGTAGGCTGGATTCTAAGCCCATTCAGCTGGATCACATGACCTGGCAAACTGGTGTAAGTTAAACTAGCAAAAAGTGTGGTGTCAGCCTATTTTAAAGGCTTGCATTCCCTCTACCAGACTGGGATCACCTCAGCCAGCAGGAACCCCACTTCTGAACAGACCTTATGTCTGGTGGACTTTATACAGTGGTACCTCGGGTCACAGATGCTTCAGGTTACATACGCTTCAGGTTACAGACTCCGCTAACCCAGAAATAGTACCTCGGGTTAAGAACTTCGCTTCAGGATGAGAACAGAAATCGTGCTCCGGCGGTGTGGCGGCAGCGGGATGTCCCATTAGGTAAAGTGGTGCTTCAGGTTAATAACAGTTTCAGGTTGAGAACGGACCTCCGGAACGAATTAAGTACTTAACCCGAGGTACCACTGTATTGGCTTAACTTATGCCAGTTTGCTTTACACCACCTTCTGTTGTTTCCTAAATTTGATATGGAAAGACTCCTGTGCATGTACATTTTATCAACTTTGGCAAAAAGGAGAAGATGGATAGTAATTACCGTAAATGGGGAACACAGTTTCCTTTCACATAGAATAAGCGGTTTAGATCCCTAAAAGCAGACCAAAGGTGAGAGGGAGCACAGCAGACTTGAAAACATACAATTTATAAAAACGTAAAATTAAATGGAAAAATACAATTCAAAGCCCTTAGCATTTGCTGTTTACTTAAAAACCGTTCATCCTTGATCATAAATAACTTTCCATCTCTTCATTTTGATGCGGATCATGGAAAGCCAGTGTGGTGTCCTGCAGGTTTTGTCAGACATCACCTCCCATCGTTCCTGACGATTGTCAGGGCTGTTTGGGGCTCAGGGAGTCAAACATCAGGGGGCAAAATGCAGAGAGAGGCATATCTAAGGCATTAAGTCTTAATGTTTTTCTCTCTGCATGAAATGATATAGATATAGTGATATAGAAATGGGATGGACTGGACCGAATGATACTTTGTTTTGTCCTTTTAGATGCAATTAATTGTGCCAAGTGCCCAGAAGACCAATATCCAAATGTGAGAAAGGATGGATGCATCTACAAAGTCAGAACTTTCCTAACCTATGAGGAGCCCTTGGGAATCGTTTTAGTTTTCATAGCTCTTTCCCTTGCTGTGGTCACAGGTATGGTGATATACACCTTTATGAAGAACTGGAATACCCCCATTGTCAAAGCCAACAACCAGAACATTACCATCACTCTTCTCATCTCCATCCTGCTTTGCTTCCTTTCTTGCTTGCTCTTCATTGGCAAACCTGGGATGGTGACTTGCCTTCTACGGCAAACAGCCTTTGGCATTGTATTCTCGGTTGCAGTTTCTTCTGTGCTGGCAAAGACCATCATTGTGATCTTGGCCTTTCTGGCCACAAAGCCAGGCAACACAATGAGGAAATGGCTAGGGCAGAAGGTGGCAAATGCTGTTGTTCTCTCCTGCTCCCTCATCCAAGTAGGCATTTGTACTGCTTGGCTGTCAAGCTTTCCTCCATTCCCAGATCTTGACACGCACTCTCTGGCTGGGCACATCATCGTTGAATGCAATGAAGGTTCAATCACCATGTTCTACTGTGTCCTTGGCTACCTGGGCTTTTTGGCCATCATCAGCTTCACTGTGGCTTTCCTTGCCAGAAAGCTGCCTGACTCTTTCAATGAAGCCAAGTTCATCACGTTCAGCATGTTGGTGTTTTGCAGTGTCTGGGTCTCCTTTATTCCAGGTTATCTGAGCACGAAAGGGAAATACATTGTGGCAGTGGAGGTGTTTGCCATCTTGGCTTCCAACACTGGCCTCTTGGCTTGCATCTTCTTCCCCAAATGTTATATCATTGTTCTAAGACCTGATCTAAACACCAGGAAGCAACTAACGGGAAAAGGGAATTAATTATTTATCCTTATTCTAAACCTTTAGTTGTCTGTGTTGTGTACATTCGGTCTGTTTCTCCTTTTTCCAATCCTGTTTATATGCATTGTAATCATTGAAATTGATTTGTAATGCTAACTAGTGATTTTATTTCTGGGAAGTCAGTTGGATTGTTCATGCAACAGGATTGTCCCTTATTTCAGTGGAAAATGCCACATCCTTTGTTGATATAGTTTTGTCCTGTATTTCAGGTAATCTCTCTCTCTCTCTCTCTCTCTCTCTCTCTCTCTCTCTCATTGTTCTAACACATGATCTAAACACCAAGAAGCAACTAACAGGAAAAATAAATTAATGGTTAATTATTATTCTAAATCTATATATATATTGTGTAGTTTACATTTAAACCTATCCAGTTTTAATATACTGTAATCACTGATCTATATTTGTAAATTAATGTTGGCCAGTGAGGTTGGTTCTGAGTTGGATTAATCACTCCACAGTTGATTTGAATAGAAATGGTCTCAATGACTAATACCACTTCCAATGCAGAAGAGTGTCAAAGTCAGATCTAGTTTGAGGATTTAGTTGGTAATTTTGCCTAGGTCAAAAATAACCTCCTTCCAAAATTTTTGAGCTATAGGGCAATCCCACCACATGTGAAGGACCAAACCTTTTTCATCATATTCCCTCCAGCATAGTGGCAGAGTTATAACATATGATAGTTTAACAGGTGTCCAGCACCATCTGAATATAATTTTTAAAATCAGAAGTGAAAAGGAGTAGTTTGAAATTGTTTGAAGGCCCTTTCTTTGCAGTTTCCCACTGCTTCTTTGTGCAGCTGCTTGCAAAGGGCTTTCAAACAACCCTACACTGCTCCTGCAGCTGTCTGAAGCTTTTTGCAAACAGTTTTGCCATTCTCCTCCTCTAAACTTCTGGTTTCAGAGAAGTATGAAGCTGCTTCTAGAGCACCGTTGGAACAGATAAGCAATACTCACTGAATGGAGACAACTTTCTCCTCCTTGAGGAGGAGATTTATAAAGGAGGAGATAAACTGAGATTTAAAGGAGCAATGTGGGTGTCTGAACACCCTTTGCAGCAAAGGGCTTTCACAAGCCCTACACTCAATTTTGAAGTGCCAACAAGTAGGGTTTCAAAGCCCAGCATCGCCTGATGCCACTGCGACATTATCATATGCTCCAGCAGTCACAATTCTCCCATGGCACTCATGGAATTCAAAAAGCCACCCCATTTTCTGATTTAATCTGGGAATCTTCCAATGCTGGAGGATGAGCTGGTATGCATGGAGAAAGCCAATTTCATGGAAACAAAAGGGTTACCAATATTAACAGGGCTGTCATTCCTAGAGAGGAAGGGAAGGGTGTCAAAAGAGGACCTCCCAGTGTGGTGTAGTGGTTAAGAGCAGTAGACTCGTAATCTGGTGAACCGGGTTCATGTCTCCGCTCCTCCACATGCAGCTGCTGGGTGACCTTGGGCTAGTCACACTTCTTTGAAGTCTCTCAGCCCCACTCACCTCACAGAGTGTTTGTTGTGGAGGAAGAAGGGAAAGGAGAATGTTAGCCACTTTGAGACTCCTTCAGGTAGTGATAAAGTGGGATATCAAATCCAAACTCTTCTTCAAACTCTTCTTCCTGTCCAGTGTCTGTCCTTCCATGTATTTGTGAGATTTACCACCCCAACTTTCTTCCAAATAAAGCTCAGAGTGGTTGTACCCTTGTTTTATCAACCTGTGGGGTGCTGGAGTTTGAGGCGTGTGGGGTGACAAAGTTATGATGGTCGCCGGTTGGCACTGCAGCTAGGTGGGCTTCTAGGGGGAGGGGTTTTCTGCATCATGAAAAACTTAAATAAGAATCTTAACATGCACCATCCCATGACTGTGATACTGATGTAGAATAGGGAAAAAAATATTTACCCAAATATTCCACATGTTTCTGGATTGTAAATAAATTCAGTACATTGATTTTGATGAACCATTTAAAAGGAAAAGCTCATTAGAAGTAGATGGGTTTTCACATAGAAGGTTGAATAATCAGGGAGGTTTTTCTCTGTTCAGTTCAGGTCAAGGCTTGCCCCTCTAAGCCAAAACAGAACCTCCGTTCTCAGATGCAAGCTACCATTTGTATTGAAAAACCTAGCATTTTAGGCCCAAGTTAAGAAGTTAGGCCTAAGTGCAAACAACAGGAGAAATGTGTTCAAAGCAATGCAGTGGAAGTAAACTATCCGCATATTTCCTTATCATGAACCTCAACATTTGCCATCAAAGAAATTTTGTAAACATGTTTTTCCAGAAGCACAGGGAGGCCATTATTGAAACCAGGGAACTGTTTCACTACCCTGAAATTTTTGAAATCACTGTTATTAATTTCCAATCTTGTAGAGTCAACATTAACATCAAAGGGTTTGTTTTTTTAAAGGCAGAGTAGAAAAGATGGGTCATTCAGTTCTGAACTGTGCAGAAGTCACAGTGTGCACCTCTACTCTGGAATATGCTCCCTAGGGAAATAAGAGAAAATCTACCTCCTGTTCTTTAGTTGCTGTCTCAACAGTTGGTGCATTTGTGGTTCTTGTGAGAAATTCTCCCAGTGTGCCTACTGCAGGGAACTATTGTAGCTTGGAGGGGAATTGAGAATGTCAGAATGCTGCTGTGGGCTGAGGAGGCATGTTGTTGTGCTTCGGTGTTTATTAATATTGCTGCTGTTGCTGATGCTTCTCCCTTCTCTTGTATCTCAAGACATGAAAGATGGCTGCAGTTATTATAGAAGCATTCGGGACAATTTATATCAACCAGGTGATGCTGCAGTTGGTGGGATCTTCTCTCTCATATTTCCTGAATTTGTTTTGCTCAATTTTACAAATCTTCCAGAAAAACATCACAAAGCATTTATGTAAGTTCTTCTGCATTGATTAGAAGTACAATTCCGTTAGCCGAGTGATGATTATGGTTGCCATTCACTGAGTGAAGGGTGGGATTTCAGCATGACAACAGTTCATGTATTACAAACTTGGATTTAGGATACCCAGAAGTGCAATGACTATCATAACAGATTACATCAATGCCCAACTCATTGGTGACAATTCTAGATTTGTCTAGAATTGCAGAAAATATTATTTTGGAGAGGAAAGGATGTGTGTGTCACATGAGGTTTACAATTGCATTATTGTACACATTGCTGGGAAATAACACTACAGCAAATAATTAATAAAAGTAGTTTGAGAAATGTGTAGATACAGTTGTTAAGCTTTTGAAACAAGGTTGTAAGGTGTATTCGCTTCCATGAAACTTGCAATAAAGTGAAAATGTTGGGATGCACAAAGGCAAGCTTTTGCTCCTGTAAATGAGTGAGTCATTTCAAACAGAAATACTGCCACACATATCAGACATCCATAAATTTGAGTAGAAGTTTCATACTGGGTTTTATTAATAGGCCTCATCAATTATTAATCAATTATTAATAATTATCAATTATTAATAATTATCAATTATTAATAATTATTAATAGGCCTCACCAATTATTAATGGGCCTCATCAATAGGAGTATAGCATCTAGATCAAGGGAAGTAATAGTGCCACTGTATTCTGCTCTGGTCAGACCTCACCTGGAGTACTGTGTCCAGTTCTGGGCACCACAGTTCAAGAAGGACACTGACAAACTCGAACGTGTCCAGAGGAGGGCAACCAAAATGGTCAAAGGCCTGGAAACGATGCCTTATGAGGAACGGCTAAGGGAGCTGGGCATGTTTAGCCTGGAGAAGAGGAGGTTACGGGGTGATATGATAGCCATGTACAAATATATAAAAGGATGTCACATAGAGGAGGGAGAAAGGCTGTTTTCTGCTGCTCCAGAGAAGCGGACACGGAGCAATGGATCCAAACTACAAGAAAGAAGATTCCACCTAAACATTAGGAAGAACTTCCTGACAGTAAGAGCTGTTCGACAGTGGAATTTGCTGCCAAGGAGTGTGGTGGAGTCTCCTTCTTTGGAGGTCTTTAAGCAGAGGCTTGACAACCATATGTCAGGAGTGCTCTGATGGTGTTTCCTGCTTGGCAGGGGGTTGGACTCGATGGCCCTTGTGGTCTCTTCCAACTCTATGATTCTATGATTCTATGATTCTATGATTCTAATAGTACTTTCTGGATATCCTCCCAAACCATGAAAAATAAATAAAGAAACAAAAAAACAAGAGCACGATTCAGCTACTAATCTCAACGCAGAACAGGCAAGGGCAGGCTTAAGTTTATTTTAGATATATTTCATACAATTTATATACCACTTGATAGTAAAGAAAAATGTCAAATTTCCTCAAAGGGGGTTAATTTTGACTGGATCATGTCTCACCAAATACAGGGTGGCTCAAAAGAAATTCATCACAACAAATTATATGGATACAGATAACTAACACACAACAAAGTGGCAGTTAAATTTCAGGCTGGCAGTTGGAAAGAATAGTGCGGCAGTTGGAAAGAATAGTGGAGTCAGAAAAAAGGATTATTTTTCCTTACTGATATTGTGAATGATGACAGTGAACTTGAGTCAACAACAAAGAAAGTGAACTCTAAAGCAGTATACCTACTTTTGGGCCACTCTGTATTATCCCTTTTGCTCACGTTTCCACACCTACAGCTACATTCCCATATTCTTTTTGTTCTTAACATCCCTTTCATATCCTCATGTGGTCAGGTGAACAGCAAACTTTCTACATGAAACTGAGGGTGATAATAGTCTTTGTAATAGATGGCGCTATGACAACTTATCTATCTTATTGCAGTCCAGTGTATAAAAATTATCAGCATGTCCTCACATTTATTTTTGCCATTCATGAGATCAATAAGAATCCCAGGCTGTTGCCCAATGTCACTTTGGGATTCCACATCTATGACAACCTTTTTGATGCAAGAACTATATATGAGACCACCCTGGACCTACTGTTCTCAAAGCAAATGAATGCAATTAATAATTATGATATGAATAAGGATGTGTTGTCTATCATTGGAGGTCTCACTGTAGAAGATGCCTATCAGATGGCCACCATCTTGAATCAGTACAAGATACCACAGGTGTGTTTGTCTCCAGTCTTCTTATCTGCTCCTTTACGTGAATGGAATTTGTGACTATGCTTAAGTTCTGTGCAAACTGATGGTTAGCTCATTCACACATACAATGCAGCTCATGCAATTAACAATGCAAACCTTTATATACATTTAGTCAGAAGTAGCATCTACTTCATTAAGTTGAGCTTAGTCTCTGAATTATTCAATTAGAGCAAGAGCCTAAAATATTCTGTTGGAAATCACATGCTGGGATGTGAGTGTGGAAGTAATATAGAAACTTTTATTTCTAAAGAATATTCAGAAAATTTAGTACTACTAGATACCTACCGTAATGGGCAATTTCTTGTTATTTCTCCAAGCTCTAATAAGCATTGTCTCCTGTATTACAGTAGCTCACTTATGGAGCCTATGACACAAAACTGAGCAGCAAAACACATTTCCCTTCTTTATACCGAATGGCACCAAGTGAAACTATTCAGCCTGTTGGGATTGTCCAGATACTCCTTCATTTTGAATGGACATGGATTGGCATCATTGTTTCAGATGATGAAGATGGAGAAGACTTTGTGCAGATTTTAACACCTCTGCTTGCCCAGAATAGCATTTGTGTTGCCTTATTGCTGAAGATAGAAAGAGCATCACAAGACCGTGATGAGGCCTTCAATACACAAATGCCAAAGATTGATGCAGCACTTCAGTCTGAAGTCAATGTGTTTATTGTCAGTGGAAATTATTATTCTCTGTGGGACTTAAAACTCAGAGTACACGTTTGTGACCTTTTCAAAATAATTGATATTAGGAAGGTTTGGATTATAACAGCTCGGTGGGATTTCACTCAGGAGATAGATTTATCCTCTGGTTTTGAAAGGGCTTTCAGTGGCACCCTGTATTTCTCAGTACAGAAACATCCTGTTCCCAGATTCCATAATTTTATCAAGAACTTAAATTCGGATGAATCACTCATGCACTTTCTATGTTTGTTCTGGCAATATGCTTTTGACTGTTCGATTCCTAGTGAAGGGTTTACACGTTGTCAAATGTGTGAAAGATGTACAGGAAAGGAGAAACTGGAAACATTGACTGCATCTAGGTTTGAGATGGATATGACTGTTGAGAGTTATGTTATCTACAATGCTCTCCATGCAATAGCTCATGCTTTACATGCCATTGATGTTCCAAGCCAAAAACTAATGCTGGCTAATAAAGGCAAATTCAAACCCTTGAATATTCAGCCATGGCAGGTAAAGTCTATCATTCTGATGAATTTCATTTTGCAGGTGAAATCAACTCTGATGGTTAAATTTTTAGCACACTCTTATAGCCATGATATTCTCTAGAGATCTTTTAGTGGAGAATTAAATCCAATGGATGTACCTTGGCTCTGTGAAAGGGTGAGGTTTTCACATTCCCAGATTGTATTTTGTCATTAACCAGCTCCTTGAGCTCAATCAACAATTCCCTGATTGCTCTGAGCCACAGATTCTGAAATTGCCCAATATGTTAAAGGAAGGAAGGAAGGAAGGAAGGAAGGAAGGAAGGAAGGAAGGAAGGAAGGAAGGAAGGAGGGAGGGAGGGAGGAAAATCAAGCTGACTAGGTAGATGTCCTGAGCTCAAGTGGAGAGGGACAGGAGAAGTGGAGTGTCTTCCATTTGGATGGACATATTTAAGTTTTAATCATGGTGAAATATTTTCCCAGAGCACCCCAATCACTGACATGCCTTCCCCTGGAAATTTTATTTATATCCCACCCTCCCCAGCCGAAGCCAGGCTCAGAGCAAGCTTTGCTGAATGGGAGAAAGCTCTCATAAGGCTGGAGGAAATGTCCTAAATTCTACATTTTGGCCTGATCCAGCAGGCTCTTCTTATAATATAAAATGTTTGCCTCTGACTGAATGGCAGCTTAAACAGATTCAGAATAATAAGCTCAAATTTACAGACACACAATAATGTTCTTTCTCAGTTTAGGTCCATTCTTCACTGAAAAATATTCATTTTAACAATGGTGCTGGGCATGAAGTCCTGATAGAAAATGGAGAAGTTTCAGCTGGCTATGATATCATCAACTGGGTTGTTTACCGCAATCGAACTGGTCTCAAACTCCAGGTTGGAAAAATTTCAGCAAATCATAGTTTCACTATCAGAGGGAATATGATTGTGTGGAATAACAAATTCAAACAGGTAGGAATTTATATATTTCAAAATGTTCAAGAAACAGCCATTAAACATGCCCCAGGTGATATTCAAAACATAAACACTACAGATTTCTCTCTCATGCAGAAGGACATTTTGTGACACTTGTAAAAATGCCAGATTCTGCAGATCTACACTGTTAGGAGACATACAGAGTAAGCTGTTTTTAAAGCTGACATTGTCCCCCATAACCTCTGAGTGGTTAGAGATTCCACTTAGTTCCAAGCATGCTGTGTTTCCTTCTGGACGATGAGATGGTGTCTATATTATATATCATTTATTTACACATAAATACACAGGCACAGCAGGATCTCTGCCCTGTAGCTTGCCTTCTTAGGTCACATAATGCCTAACTTACCCTCCTAACACCTCCTGCACTATGCTTCTGCACACATTATTTCCAACTCTCTATTCTAAATGCCAGGCTTATATATGCAGAGCAGGAAAGGCCTCATTAAAATGCCTTTTCACACTTAGCCCTTTGCTCCTGTGTTGTCTTAATGACCCATTACACCAGGCTAACACCTCAAATAAAATTAACTCTTAACACTTACTGCATCCAGAAATGACAGCTGTCTGGTCCCAGTTTTATGGCTCTGATTCAGTGGCGTAGCGTAGGTTGTCAGCACCCGGGGCAAGGCAAGTAATTTGCACCCCCTAACCCGTGGATTTGCACCCCCTAACCCTAACCCCCAGTTGTTGCGCCCGGTGCGGCCGGGCCCCCCCTGCACCCCCCACGCTACGCCACTGTTCTGATTCCCTTTGGGCGACATCAGTGAGAGCAAGAGGAATGTATTGTCATCTGGGCAGCCCAGGACTTCCATATACACTGCCCAGCCTTGCATCCCAGAGAAGTCACTTCAGTACCACTAACACAGCAAAAACGATGCAGTTGTTCAGACTTCATCCCCAGAGGACCACTCTATTGTCTTGAGTCAGACATATGCCAACAAGAACAGACAGCAAACTCACAGGAGTCTGATGCCCACAAACACATAACAGTATCATCAATTTTTGATGCTGTTTAAAATTCAGTATGTTGCCATTTTTAACTGCTTTGCATTACAAAAAGGTGCCCCATCAGGGATTGGAAGTCATTATTTCATGCCCCAAAAAGAGAAATTATAAATGTACTAGTTGGTCCGAAAAGACTGATGCCAACTTCATTTTTAATTTTTTTTTGTTTGAACAGACACCACCTCAAGCAATGTGTGTTGACAGTTGCCTCCTTGGATATAGAAAGATGGTGCAGGAAGGGAAACAAGTTTGCTGTCATGACTGTGTCCCATGTCCAGAAGACATGATATCTAAAGAAACAAGTATGAGACATCAGTTTTCATTGGGATGTGTGTCGGGGGGAGGGGGAGGAGAGAGATTCATTTTTTCGAATAAAGTAACAACATATAGAACAGTTAGATAAAGACAAATGAAAATGAAATGAGATACATTGCACAGATTCCAATCTGATTACCAGTCAAAGCAAAAGATAATCACACCTGCAAAGGGGGAATTCTAAGGAACTAGCAGGGCCAGTGGGGAATAGGATGCAACGCCCATTCAGCTGGGTCACATGACCTTGCAAACTGGTGTAAATTAAACTAGCAACAGTGGCGCCAACTTGGATCCCAGATTATGGGTGCCCAGGGTGGTGCTATGACGTCATGATGTCACATGTGTGCGCCGTGATATTATGATATCACATTGCACGAACTGTAGTGGCAAGTGGGCCTGGCCCAGACCCTGAGATGTGGACACGAGCAGTATCAATTTTTCAATCTCTGCAAAAATAAATCCCTTCACATGGCCCTAACTCCTAGGCTCCCCTACCCACCCATATAGGATAACTGTTATCTCTTCTCCCACACACCTACAACGAAAAGTCAGTGAAGGAAATCCAGGCATACACATTTCATCCACCCTGGAAAAAAGGAGAAAATTGACAGTCATTAAATGGAGAACACAATATCACTTTAAATATACCAAGCAGCTTGGGTACCAAGAGGAGACTCGGAAGCATGTCATTCTTAAAAATTAAAAATAATGAGAAATACCGTATTTTTCGCCCTATAGGACGCACCGGCCCATAGGACGCACTTATTTTTTTGGGGGGGGGGAGGGAAATAAAGGAAAAAACTGACCCCTCTCGCTCTCCAGGCTTCAGCGAAAGCCTGCATTCGCCCCATAGGACGCACACACATTTCCCCTTCATTTTTGGAGGGGAAGAAGTGCGTCCTATAGGGCGAAAAATACGGTACAATGTTTATCATTACTTCATTATCTTCATACACTATACAATGACATATGAATGGGGTAGAATTAATGATGTTATGTTTGCCCCTTTTAGATGCAATTGATTGTGCCAAGTGCCCAGAAGAGCAATATCCAAATGCGGACAAAAATGAATGCATAAACAAAGTTAGAATTTTCCTATCCTATGAGGAGCCTTTGGGGATTATTTTAGTTTCTCTTGCTGTTTCCTTTGCTGTAGTGACTGGTATAGTGATATACACATTTGTGAAGAACTGGAATACCCCCATTGTCAAAGCCAACAACCAGAACATTACCATCACTCTTCTCATCTCCATCCTGCTTTGCTTCCTTTCTTGCTTGCTCTTCATTGGCAATCCTGAGAAGGTGACTTGCCTTCTACGGCAAACAGCCTTTGGCATTGTGTTCTCAGTTGCAGTTTCTTCTGTGCTGGCAAAGACCATCATTGTGATCCTGGCCTTTCTGGCCACAAAGCCAGGCAACACAATGAGGAAATGGCTAGGGCAGAAGGTGGCAAATGCTGTTGTTCTCTCCTGCTCCCTCATCCAAGTAGGCATTTGTACTGCTTGGCTGTCAGTCTCTCCTCCATTCCCAGATCATGACACGCACTCTCTGTCTGGACACATCATCGTTGAATGCAATGAAGGTTCAATCACCATGTTCTACAGTGTCCTTGGCTACCTGGGCTTTTTGGCCATCATCAGCTTCACTGTCGCTTTCCTCGCCAGAAAGCTGCCTGACTCTTTCAATGAAGCCAAGTTCATCACGTTCAGCATGTTGGTGTTTTGCAGTGTCTGGGTCTCCTTTATTCCAGGTTATCTGAGCACGAAAGGGAAATACATAGTGGCAGTGGAGGTGTTTGCCATCTTGGCTTCCAGCACTGGCCTCTTGGCTTGCATTTTCTTCCCCAAATGCTATATCATTGTTCTAAGACCTGATCTAAACAGCAGGAAGCAACTAACGGGAAAAGGGAATTGATGATCAATTCTTATTCTAACCTTTAAATGCATTTTTGTACTGTTTACCTTTGGTAAACTAACAGGAAAAGGGAATTAATTATTTATCCTTATTAAAACCTTAATTGTTTGTTTGTTTGTGTGTGTGTGTGTGTGTGTTGTGTACTTTCACTCCTTCTCCATCTTCTATCCAGCTTTCATGCAATGTATTCATTGAACTGTATTTGTAGATCAACGTTTCTAGTGATGTTGGTTCTGTGTAATCCGTTGGATTAATCATGTCACAGTTGACGGTTTGCTTTCAGAGGAATTGTGGGGTGGTGCTTTGAATAGTAGTGAAAATAATAGCTGTTCATCCCTGCTGATATAAAACATCCATAGACATAACAACACTTTTGCAGCCTTCATGAATATATGGTTACTGAATTTTTGTGGGTGTGGCGGGGGATATGTTGTATGCTTGAGCCTCTTTACAATTCCTGGATGCAACACGCATCCAATTCCTGAAATATCCAAGCTATCTTCCTGGTGAGATAATGGCCTTTTAGGTATGGGCCATTAAGATAACAAAGGGAGTGGTTCTGTGGCATATGGCAAATGGGTTGAGCCGTCTTCCTCAACTCACTGCTTAATAGAAATACAAAGGCCATGGTTGAGAGTTGAGTCTTGAAAGCTATAGAATCTGGAAACTTCAAGTTGGGCAGCTGGGAAAGACAGATTTCTGATTTCTGTTGAAATCCCAGTATGTGGCTCTGGGAGCAGCAAGACCCTCTTGGAGTGTTAATGCTGTGAACCCATCCATTGTAGGCTAAGGTTCTATAGATGTGCAAATAAACCCCTTGGCCTAAAGACACCACAGTCTCCACTGTGCCTCATTCTAAAGGAAACAGAGATCCTGGGTAAGCACTTAGGACCCCTGGAATCTTGCAACACATGGTGATTGGAGTGGTATGCAACAATATGGATCTGTCTTACACTTCTTAATATTTTATTTTATTTTATTTTATTTTATTTTACTACTTATTTTGCCAAATTGTCTGAACAGACAGACACTCTCCCCTTTTTCTTGAGGAAATTTCAGGAAACTTACTCCTAAAGGGAGGGAATACAGCTGGATATGGCTAGCCTTCCTAGCCAATCACAAAGGAGACTGGCATCCTGGCATTCAAGTTTGAAACATCTACTCATTAGTCTTCCTTCTTCTTGCAACATCCAGGCTCCCAGAATTTAGGTGGCCTAAGCTGGGTGGATGAGGTGGCTGAGTAGAATTTTTATTTAGAGGGGGCTGCCTCTGTCTGTGTTGGAGAAGGAGGTTTGGAAGAGAGATTCCTAATCTCCAGGACAGTGATACCTCGAGTTACAAACGCCTCAGGTTAAAAATGCTTCAGGTTACAAACTCTGCTAACCTGGAAGAGTTACCTTGAGTTGAGAACTTTGCCCCAGGATGAGAACGGAAATTGTGTGCTGGCGGTGCAGCGGCAGCAAGAGGCCCCATTAGCTAAAGCACGCCTCTAGTTAAGAACAGTTTCAGGTTAAGAATGGACCTCCGGAACAAATTAAGTTCGTAACTAGAGGTACCACTGTACAATTGTGATTGCTACCAAGTACATAGTTAGATTTATACCTGCCCCCATCCATCTTTAAACAAACATTCCACATGAAAATACTCAGGCTAGAATGAATCACAGACACTTAGCTTTGCAAATAAGTGAATTGTTGCAGTTGTAGTTGTAGTAGTTGTTGTTTATATACCACGATATACCTACAGGTCTCAGGGTGGTTTACAGAATAAAATCAAAAAATAAAACCACAAAAAACAACAACAACCCAGTAACACCCACTGTGGTTTACTCACAGAGTTTCCAGCAGTGGCATGAAACAAATTTTCATCAACAGGGAGTAAAACAAAGAAGAAGAAAGGTTCCAAATGTCTTAAAAAGAAAAGTACTTGGTTTCTTTACAAAAAGGATCATGTAGTCTTTGGCTTAGCAAAGCATATAAAATCCTTTCTTAGAGAGATTCTTCATTTCACATGCAGTATTTGCCAAGTTGGGAGCCAAACTATGGCTCCTTCTTGTATTGGTCCAAGAAGCACACAAAGACTGAGAAGGGGGAATTGGAGGCTGCTGAGTGCCTGCTAAGCCACAGCCACTTTAAACATGAGCTCAGGGCTCAGGTTAATGCTTTTTTATATATACAAATAGAATGCTCCACACAATGGAGACCCCTGATAAAGCAGAATACTTGATAGTGTGAGGTGTTCTATTCACATTAAGATAAATGGATGTGGATGCCCAGTGCAGTGGGTGGGATTTGTGCACAAGGATGTTGAGATGGGGTGTCCATGTACAATCTTTGCCTCCATTCATGGATACAATGTCCGTATGCTTAGGCGAACTGGCAATTATCATAAAATGATGAGCAACCTTGGAGCCCCTATGGTTAGGTAGAAAGGCAGCATACAAATATTTTAAATAGGGAAATAATTATTAGCAAAAGGTTGTCTCCAACTAAGTTCTACTCTAAGTAGCCCCATTGAAATTAATAGTTGGAAGTTTGTTATGTCAATTCATGTCAATGACTCTGCTCTAAATGTGAAAGATATTGGACACAACCCTAGTAGTCTTCCATCTGAGGTCACCAGGCAAAATTCATTTCTATTTTTTCTGAGACATTTTCCGCAAAGCACCTTGGATCTCTTTGTTTCTCAGGCTATAAATTATGGGATTCATCAGAGGTGGCAAAATGGCATACAAAACAGCAGCCAACAAATCGAGAGATGGAGAGGACAAAGCCTTTGGTCTCATGTAGGATAGCATAACAGTAGAAACAAACAAAGAAAATATGGTCAAATGTGGGATACAGGTGGAAAAGGCTTTATACCTTCCCTGTGCTGACTGAATCTTAAACACTGCAGTGAAGATATAACTGTAGGACACCAAGACAAGCAAAAAGCAGAACAACCCCACACAAAAGACACTGGCAAGTGTGAAGCGCTCACTGGCTTCCGTGTTTGTACAAGATATCCTATATAACTGAGGGATATCACAGAAATATTGTTCAATCACATTAGACTGGCAGAAATGTAGCCTAAATGTGTTTACAGTGTGGATCACACCATTGAGGACACTGCTGAGCAACGAAGCAGCTGCCATTTGAAGACAGGCATTCCAGTTCATAATCAGCATGTATTGTAGAGGGTGGCAGATTGCTACGTAACGGTCATAAGCCATAACAGTGAGAAAGGACAGCTCAGCCCCTGCAAATGTGACAACCAGGAAAACCTGGGTGACACAGCCAGAGAATGAAATCACATTGACATTAATCAAGGAATTGACCATGGATTTGGGCACAGTGGTAGAAATGTAGCAGGCATCAATGGAGGATAGGAAAGCCAGGAAAAAATACATGGGAGTATGAAGATGTTGGATTCGGGTTATGGTTACGATGATGAGGAAGTTCCCCATTAAGGCTGCTAAATAAAGAGAGAGAAACAACACAAAATGTAAGATCTGGAGCTCTCGAATATCAGAAAACCCTAGAAGGATGAATTCTGTCACAGATGTTTGGTTTACCATTCCTTTGGTTGGAAAATATTCTGTGGAGAGAACAGGAGGAAATGTTGGCAAGAAAGCAAAGATTTTGCAAGTTTCTTTGACACCATTGTGTGTTTAGCAAACCCACTATGAGCTTTTATTTTTTGGTAAAACACAAAGTGTAAAGCAAAGATGTGTCAGCGTGGCTATATAAGGTGGTTGGGAGAAGTACATTATCTAACTGAATGGCTTTGACATACAGTGGTACCTCGGGTTACATTCGCTTCAAGTTACATATGCTTCAGGTTACAGACTCCACTAACCCAGAAATAGTACCTCGGGTTAAGAACTTTGCTTCAGGATGAGAACAGAAATCGTGCGGCGGCGGCATGGCGACAGGAGGAGGCCCCTTTAGCTAAAGTGGTGCTTCAGGTTAAGAACAGTTTCAGGTTAAGAACGGACCTCCGGAACAAATTAAGTACGTAACCAGAGGTAACACTGTACTCTGGATTCCTAATTCACAGTTTGTCTGTGCTTGGGAGATGGAGGGTCTTCCCTGTTAACAGAACAACTTGAATAAATAAAATAGAGTCCAGAGATAAAATGAAACAAAAACAGTGCATAATTTGAGCAGAGGGGGAAACAGAGGGATTTTGTCTTTTTTATGTCAGGCCTTGTACAGAAAAGGCAGATGTTCAACAAACATACAGTGGAAAATTCCCTCAAAGCTAACAAGACAATAATAACTCATGTTATATCAAGGATCATGCCATTCTGATGGGTAGGTACACAACATCTCCTCCTCCACCACCACTGTCAGCAGAATTAACCCTTGAGTTACCAGCTGAATGATCCCTGCTGTTGTTCTTCCAACAGTTCCTAGATATTTTATGCTTATACTTTAAGTAGCAAACCAGGAGTTCAGAGATGGCAAACCAGGCACCATTAAGAGGTTTGTGGATTGTTGTTGTTTAGTCGTTTAGTCGTGTCCGACTCTTCGTGACCCCATGGACCAGAGCACGCCAGGCACTCCTGTCTTCCACCGCCTCCCGCAGTTTGGTCAGGCTCATGTTTGTAGCTTCGAGAACACTATCCAACCATCTCATCCTCTGTCGTCCCCTTCTCCTTGTGCCCTCCATCTTTCCCAACATCAGGGTCTTTTCCAGGGAGTCTTCTCTTCTCATGAGGTGGCCAAAGTATTGGAGCCTCAACTTCACGATCTGTCCTTCCAGTGAGCACTCAGGTCTGATTTCCTTAAGAATGGATGCGTTTGATCTTCTTGCAGTCCATGGGACTCTCAAGAGTCTCCTCCAGCACCATAATTCAAAAGCATCAATTCTTCGGCGATCAGCCTTCTTTATGGTCCAGCTCTCACTTCCATACATCACTAGTTTGTGGATTACAGCTCCCATAAATCCTGTCCATTTACCATTGTGGCTGGGTTGATGGGAGTTGCAGAATCCGGAATCTGGAGGGCCACAAATTT